GAACTGGCTGTACTGGAAAGATGTAATTTCACTTTTTTGTTCACACGCTACAAGTTGGTTTGTAAAAATGTTAAGGGCTGATTTATTTTCCATGTATTTGAGCAAAATGTGTCTTGCGCTAGCAGATATGTTGTTTAAAGGTGCACTGTGTAACTTTTCTCGTTAAGGGTCCGTCAGCTGTTCCGTGGGTCATGTCAATGCTTCGTTTTAAATTGTCCACAGAATAGTATTAAACTAATCTGTCTTGAATTTATTCAACTACAGCTGCAAAACTCTTAAAAAACATCCATTCTTACTGAGAGTGTGGTCGCCTCTCCACAGATCAAACCTCTAATTTGGCTTGCAAGTCTCCATGGAGATTCTTATGTTTATGGCCATACTGTGGAACATCTGGGTGCATCTCCATGGAGACAAGCAGGTGATGGACCCTCCACCAGACAAGCTACACAATGCACTTTTAAGCAGCTCTTGAGGTAAAAATAAGATTGCTGTGTACTGTCTGCATCAAATTATGAAGCGATATAGTGTCTGAGAATCCAGAATGTGTGGTTAGCAGGCTAGTTGTTAGTTCTGACCAGTTCATAATGTTTTATTTGTGTTTGAAAAAAAGGTACTGTGATTGAATGTTCCTCGTACGTGGCCCCTGAATGTAACATGTGGCCCTTTAATGGCCCCTGTTTCAGAAAAATCCTAGAACCATCACTGGTTCTGACAGTTGTGAAAAACGCTTATAAACTCATTGCAGTGAATAATTAAGAGTCTAGTCCCTGGTCTAGTCTGTGGTCTAGTTCGTGGTCTAGTCCCTGTTCTAGTCCCCTGTTTTATCTCCAGTCTAGTCCCTGGTCTAGTTCCTAGTCTAGTTCCTTGTCTAATCCCTGGTCTAGTCCCTGGTTCAGTCCCTGGTTTTGCCTCTGGTTTAGTCCGTGGTCTAGTCCCTGGTTTCGCCCCTGGTCCAATCCCTGGTCCAGTCTCTGATCTAGTCTGTGGTCTAGACCCTGGTTTCGCCCCTGATTTAGTCCTCAGTCTAGTCCCTGGTTTCGTCCCTGGTCTAGTCGCTGGTCTAGTCCCTGGTCTAGTCTGTGGTCTAGTTCGTGGTCTAGTCCCTGGTCTAGTCCCTACTTCAGTCCCTGGTTTTGCCTCTGGTTTAGTCCGTGGTCTAGTCCCTGGTTTCGCCCCTGGTCCAATCCCTGGTCTAGTCTGTGGTCTAATCCCTATTCTAGTCCCTGTTCTAGTCCATGGTCTAGTCCCCAATTTTGTCCCCGATCTAGTCCCTGGTCTAGTCCCTGGTCTAGTCTCTGGTTTCATCCCTGGTCCAGTCTCTGATCTAGTCCGTGGTCTAGTCCCTGGTTTCGCCCCTGATTTAGTCTCTGGTCTAGTCCCTGGTTTAGTTCTTGTGTAGTCTGAGCTAGTTTTGGCTTTTGTAGATGAAGTGAAAGGCGTGTGTAAGGACTTGAATACAGGTCTGGTTCAGTTCCTGGTTTAGTCTGTGGTCTAGGCCTTGGTTTAGTCCCAGTTAGTTTTGGCCTTGAGTTAATATGTAGATGAAGTGAATGGCGCGTGTGAGGGTGCAGCTGATGTGGGTGGACTTAAATACAGGTCCACGGACTTTAGAATCCAAAGCTCCTCTTCGCTTAAAGTCTGAGTCATCGTCAGCTGCTTCCCACAGACACCTCTGCCCATCGCCACCACTCAACTCCATCAAAGGACTCAATCAAAACAGAAAAAAATTAAATAAATAAATACATGTCTACAGTTTTTGGATTATTATTTATTTAGATTACGAACGAAAACTAAATATTAAAGGCGCACTGTGTGACTTTTGTGGTGGAGGGTTTACCACTTTGATGAATGACTGCTTTACTAAATCTATCATTTAATACAATTACAGGTGTTTTTATTGCTCGTAAGTTCAACAAAAAACATGATTTCATACTCAGTACTCTTCCAAGTCTGAGGCCATGGTTCTCGACTGGAAAAAAAAGGTGGCTTGTCCTCTCCGGGTGGGTGGAGAGTCTCTGCCTCAAGTGGAGGAGTTCAAGTATCTCGGGGTCTTGTTCATGAGTGAGGGGAGGACGGAACGTGAGGTTGACAGGGGGATCGGTGGTCGCTGTATTGGACCGTTGTGGTGAAGAGAGAGCTTAGTCGAAAGGCAAAGGTCTTGATTTACCGTCAATCTTCGTTCCTGCTTTCACCTATGGTCATGAGCTCTGGGTAATGACCGAAAGGATGAGATCGCCGATACAAACGGTCGAATTGAGTTTCTTCCGCAGGGTGGTTGGGCGCTCCCTTAGAAATACGGTGAGGACTGACTACTGTCACTACTACTGCTACTACTACCAATGATAATGATAATAATAATAATGAAATATTATTGTTGTAATTATTGTAATTAATAGTAGAGACAATAATAGTTATCATGGTTGTAATAATAATTAATAATAATAAAAATAGTAATAGTGATAATGGTAGTGGAAATAATAGTAGGAATAATAGTGATAATAATAATAAATAAAAAGAAATGCCTTTAGGGTTATGTTTTTGAGATTGTGACGGATGGTGAAAGATGATGAAAGGAACTGATGATGGTGAAAATAAATATTAGTTTCAGTATAGGGACTAATAAATAAAAAAAAATATTTTAAAAAATGTGTATTTGTTGTGGTGTTGTGGGTGTTGCTTTATGCTGAATATTGTAATTGTTATACGTTGATGTTTGTTTTATTTTTTAAATGTTATATTCTGTTGTCTTTAATAAAAATAAAATAAAATAAAAAGAAATACGGTGAGGAGCTCAGTCACACAGGAGGAGCTCGGAGTAGAGCCACTGCTCATTCACGTCGGCCTCCTGGTGGGAGACGCTGACCCAGGACACGCTGCAGGGACTGTGTCTCTTGGCTGGCCTGGGAACACGTGTCTGGGGTGAAGGAAATCTGGAAGTTCCTGCTTAGACTGCTGCCCCCGCGACCCAGCCCCAGATAATCAGAAGAAAATGGATGGATGGATGATTTCACAAGGTAAACAAGGTAACATCTCCACAGATCTGAGCTGTAACTTGGCCTGGTGCCGTTACTTGCTTGTTTCCATGGAAATACTGTAGATACGCTTAATGTCATACTGTGGAACATACTGTACCAGGCAAAGTAAGAACATAAGTGGCTGTACCTGATTTCACTGTCCAAGAATCCATTTTGTGTAATATAGGACATTTAAGAGACAGTTTGCGAAAAAAGGTAAACTAAATAAATAAATAAAAGTTGATGGTGGAAAGGTAATTTGGCAAAAATCTAACACAGTTTCCAGATCACAATATTCATTTTATCAGGATTCATGTGCACTTATTATTTTTCTATTAACTGTTTAAGCCTTTAAGTTTGATCCATATATTTATTAGTGGTGAGCAAAAACACTGAAATATCGATGTATCCTGATAGTAAATTTGGTAATACAGAATCGTTAATCATGGGCTGCTGTTTCGATATGTCACCAGGAGTACTTTTAGGTATCTTTTAGTATTTTTTTGTGACCGAACTACAATTTTATAGTGAAAGAAAACTTGTTTATGCAACACACTTCACTGTTTTGATTATTAAAATAGATGTATCTTATATTAATTTGCTCAAGCTGGGTTGGTTTAAAGGTGCACTATGTAACTTTTGGTTGTTGGTCTGTCACCTGCTTGTTTCTGTGTCCTTGCTCTGCCTGGAATGTGCCACAGTATGACATTAAAAAAGCTCTACCTTACATTTATTCAGTTACAGGTGGTTTTATAGCTCAAAAATGCTTAGAAAAACAGGCAATCTAACTGTGAGCGGGGTTGCCTCTCCTTAGATCTTACTCGTAACTTGGTCTGTTTTGGTTTTAATGCCATACTGTGAAAGATTCCAAACACGGCTCTAACATTGTCATGGAGAAAGGTTACACAACGCACCTTCAGCGAGGGACGCTCATTCAAATTGTGAAAGTCCTTTGCTGCCCTCTTCTGTTCAAAATCCTGTATTGTACTTAAAACAAGCAGATGGAACGATATGTTACAAAACAACTTTATTGAACTAAAAGATGTACATGGATATACACTGTCCGGTTAGCCATTTATGATTAAAGTAAACCAAATACATTCCTTATATTATTTGAAAGTTAGAAAAAAACGTTTAAGAGATAGCAGCATAGCACTTAGCAGGGTCATCCCAAGAGTTTATATCTTTACTAGTACATGAATTTCTTGTCAAATCCAGATATGTTTTTAAAGAGGGAACAACATCATTATCATATTAATGGTAATGATGACATAACAAAGCATAAAATAAAAAAATCTGATGTCCGTTTCATATATATATATATATATATATATATATATATATATATATATATATATATATATATATATATATATATATATATATATATATATATATATATATATATATATATCATATATATTTATAAAACATTATTGGCACTCCTGATTCCTTCTTTTCAATTAGCAGTTATTATGACGATATTTATTTATAATTTAAGCAAAATACCAAGAGATTACCACAATTTTGAGACCTGGTTTAAAGGTTTAGACTTAAAGGTGCATTGTGTAACTTTTTTTGGTAGAGGGTCCATCATCTGCTTATTGCTCTGCCTGGAATGTTACACAGTGTGACATTAAACAGCTCTACTTCACATTTATTCAATTAGAGGTGGTTTTGTTTTATTGCTCAAAAAAACCTAGAAAAACAGGCATTCTGACTGTGAGCGTGGTCGCCTCTCCACAGATCTGACCTGTAACTTGGTGTGGTTTGGTCTCCATGAAGATAGAAAGGTTTAATGCCATACTGTGGGACATTCCAGACAAAGTAATAACATTTGACGGACGCATTTGACGGATCGTCCACCAGAAAAGTTACGCAGTGCAGCTTTAAGACTGGCCCTGCTTCATGCTAGGGTGGAAATCAGGTTAGTCGAAGGTTTAGAAAGAAGTAAAGACTTGGATAAAATTAAATACTAAAAATCTGTAAATTGTAAAATGGTAAAAGTTGATTTATTTCTGCTGTTCTATGATTAAAATCCCACTACTGAATTGAATTACATTTTCGATTTAGTAGTGGAATTCACAATAAGAAACCAGACAACGGCGACGCAAATGTGACCGATTTGATATTATGATGATAGGCACATTAAGTGAAGTCACAGATCTTCAAATAAGACTTGTTTTCCCCGTTATAAGTCCATTGGAAAATAAAAATTCCACACCGAGCTGTGGACTTTGACAGTTCAATTTCAGGAAACCAAATGCAAGATTCAGCCCCCGTGTCTAAGCAGCGAGCAGCTCACGTTCTGGATTCTTTCTGGATTTTTCTCGCTCTGGAAAAAAAAAAAAAAAGTTTAAATGTGTAACGTGTAAATCGGCGCTCACGAAAAAATAAGGTTAGATTTGTATTACTATATTTCTACATTTTATTTTTACTTGTACATTTATATAATTATCCCTTGTTTGACACTTGTCTGTTGTTATTTTTGCTACTTATTTTGAATTTATTATTACCATTAATATTTTTGCCCTGTGTTTTTATAATATTTTATGATGTGTGAGCTACTGTGTCCAGATAATTTCCCTTGTGGATCAATAAATGTAGTCAAACACAGTCTTATCAGTTAATTGTGCCTAGATAATTCAGACTCTAAAACAGCAAAGAAGAACAACAGCATTATTATTAAAGGTGCATTGTGCAACTTTTCTGGATCCATCAAATGCTTTTCAGTGTGGAGATGTTATTACTTTGTCTGGAATGTTCCACAGTATGGCATTAAACAATTCTATATTCAAGGAGACCAAACCAGAACAAGTTACAGGTCAGATCTAGTATTTTTGAGCAATAACACCACTGCAATTGAATAAATGTAAGATGGAGCTGTTTAATGTCATACTGTGGAACAAACCAGGCACAGCAACGACATATCCATAGCAACAAGCAGGTGACGGACCCTCCACCAGAAAAGTTACACAACGCACCTTTAAATCTAAATGTCAAAAAGAATAACTCTCGGATCTGATTTTCATTGATAATTCACTTTAGTTCAAAATATTTTCAAATTCAGTCACCATATTTTGTTTTTAAAATCAAAATTTACAATAGAAATAATCACTGACTCTTCATCGACTAAAATAAATGTAATTAAAGGGTGGTCTTTACATTACTGAACACTTCTTGCATAGTTTTTTTTAGAAAATATGGCTTAATCCAACATTTGTGCTTCAGTTCATGGTTAGTGTGCATGTAATACATTTATTTTTTTTCTTACGTAAAGTAGAGGAAGGACATGCAGACTCCACACAGAAATTTTAAGCCTTGCTAATAAGTGAGCAGAGTAATAGTTTTTGACATCATTTCATCATCATATCATTTGAACAAATATACAGTAATTGTGAATGAAAATAGTTTTGACCATTAAAATACTGAAATTCATTAAAATCTGACCTGGTTTTTCTTCTTTGGCAGCTGGGACTTCTGGGAGTTCATCTGAGGGCACATCAGGAAGCTCTACATCTCCCTAAAACACAAGAAAAACAATGGTGGGCTTAAAAATGCTATTTATTTTATCATTTGAATTCAAAATATAATATAAGTTTAATATGAATGAGAGGATGGACAGATAATATGTGGTACAGAGTGTCCATCATATCCATCTCCATGGACACTAGCAGGTCACATTACAGGTCAGATTTGTGGAGAGATATCCAAAGTAGAAAAGTTAAAATGTCCATATTACACTTTTTTCTGATCTACATTATAATGTTGTTTTCTCATCAAAAACATACCTGGACCTGGAGTTGTGTTTTGTTTCACTCAGACATAAACCCTACACATTTAGGCTCAGTTTTTCTCTCAAAAGAATGTCATCTCATGTCATGAAAACTACCACTTCATGACATCACAAGATGGAACAGAGCATTTTGAGCTTTGGAGATGCAGACAGACTAATAATGAAGCATTACTTAAACATGTGTGAATGAAACAAAATACGACTCGAGGCATGTTTTTGAGGAAGTAACAACATTATAACATGACTTAAAGCATTGTTTCCCAAAGAGTGGATTGAGACCCTCAGGTGGGCTGCAAGAGATTTTTTGGGGGGTTTCCTTGTCATGATCTGCATGTAGGTGTGCAGTTTACAGTTCTGACACTCTCTCCTCCTGCACCCCGGACTGGAACATGCTACAAAAACGCAGACAGGCCCTCCTATCTCATTAGAAATGCTGAAATGTTAAGACGTGTTTTGTGTCATTTCTAATCTTTTTGTTATTATTTTATTGACTATTTTGTTCCAGTATTGCTGGTTCAATTGAATGTTGAAACGAAAAAGATGGATCATTTTATTGCTGCTTCAATGACTGTTTTTCATTGTTTAAAACTTGAGTAATACTAATTGTTCAGAGAGACATGATCACTCAGTCAGCAATAAAATATCCTCATTAATGTTCAATAATGCTCAAATCCATCTTTAGTTTGTGATTTATAAATAATGTCTATTGACTTGGGTCGCGAAGGTTTGTATATAGGACCTATAAATAAGAAATGCCATGCTGTGGAACATTCCAGGCATAATATTTCCATGAAGGCAATTGAGGTAACAGACCCCCCCCATATAAAAGTTACTACAAAAAACATGTGGTAGAACACCTTTAAATATTGATTTCTGTATAATGTTTATGTGAAGAATCCCTCAGTCGTCCAGGTAGAATCCATGGCAAGGAGAAAATTCAGTTTGACAAACTGAATTTTCTCCTTGCCATGTATACTGTTTAATTAATTTCTACCTGTGTAATGGCCTCCAGTTCTGCTAAAATGTCATCTTCATCCTCCGGCGTCAAAGACCCGGCCAACATCTCATCTATTTGCTGAAGTAGAAAAATAAAACAAAAAACATGTTTATTTCACTGTGAATCATCCGTGCTTTGACATTACTCAGAGAACTCACCCTTTGGTACTCAATCGCATCTTGGGTCTCATCCATAATGCGCTCCACTTCTTCAATGGACATAACCTGCAATAAGAGACAATAAAACAATACAACCAATTTATCATCAACAAGACACAAACTTAACAGGAAAAACTGGATCTTGCCCAGTACTTGTCCACTCACCTCATGCATTTTCTTCAGACACTCATTTCCAACTTTGAGTCCTTCAAGCACCTTCATTTCAATCTGAGCGAACTCCAGATCTTGAACCTGTGACACAAAGGCACAAAGTACAGCAGGTCGACATTGCCCGACTGGTATTTTGCGGCGACATTACGCTGGAGGTTTTCCACTTTTACATCTATGGCGGAACGTTCAGCAGCTACCATGGTGACACAATGCACACACTACGAGCAAACATTTCCAAAAAAGGAGTTGTACATCGAACGCATATCTTCTATCTTCTATGTATCCTGAGGTTAGCCCATTGTGCATCAGATGTGGCCTGACTGAGGCATCTCTTGGCCACATATTTTGGTCATGCTCGTGTCTGCAAACCTACTGGAGGAACATTTTTAACACTCTATCCCAGGTATTCAATATTAGGTTGGAACCAAACCCTGTATTGGCGCTTTTTGGTGTTTTGGAGGATCATGTACTGTATTTTCCGTTCTATTAGACATGCTCATAAACCTCTACCTGTATCAAAAAACTACCGTGCGCCCCACAATCCGGAGCGCCCTATAGACGAATCCACTCGGGTTTCCCAGCACGACTTCAGTAAACTACAAAGCCGCACCACCCGCAGAACACCGCACACCGAAAAACACCCGCAGGCCACACTCATCACTCCACGCCGATGAGGAACGGAACGGAGGAACTAGGGATGGGCATGATTAGTCGATTAATCGATAATTGATCATTAAGAATTTCATTGATTACGTTAATTTTAATCAACAAAACGAATGTAGGTTGGTGTGGGTAGTGTGACCAAACAGGGTCTGTACATGTGTCTCTGCATCAGAAGGAGCGAGACACAAACAGTGGGTCAGTCTGCAACGTACCGAAGCACAAATGTGGATTTAACGATGACTTGTACAAGAAATTCCACACTTTCCGTTGCGTTCGGGACAAGTGTGAGGCCATCTGCACAGTGTATAAAGCAGCACATATATTTCAGTGTCCAGAGGGAAAAAGTTTTTCCAGGTGAGAGTTGCTCAATGTCGATGACGAGGCCCCACCTCCCACCCCCCGTACGGTGTCCTGGTTTTGACAAACACAAATATGGTCACACTAATCTGTATTCCACTGAGTCATGTCTTTTAATCCGACAGAAGTTGAACCACATCAGTGTAGTAGAGCTGTAGTTTTATCTTTGCTGAGTTTATGTAAATTAGCGATGCGGTTTTAAGTTTCGTTTCTGTGAGAGTTGCGCAAAACTGAATTAAACACATTATAATGTCAAACAGCTGATGTGGCTCTAGAGTGGTTACGGTTTATATGTCGTAAAGTTGAATTTATTTATGCAGATTAGTGCAGATAGTAATAATAATGATGATCATTTTAATATAAAAACATTAATGATTAATCGATAATCGATCATTAATTCTTCCGACAATCGATTAAGAAAATTTCATTGAATGCCCATCCCTAGGAGGACCGAACCGAAAAAGCGAGTCCAATGTGCCACTTCTAGACACAACTGAACAACTGAGTCACTGCGAACACGCTGACAATCCAGCGGTCCCAGACAGCACCCTCCCTACACGCCACAACTGAACGAAGCCCAGAGTCACCGTGAACGCGCCAAACAAACAAAGTCCCACTGACCCATCCAAACTGTTGTGTTTCCTTTAAAGTCTGGTGCGGTTTATTTGTGAAAAAAGTTCGAAAACAGACCATTTAATAACAGTGCGCCTTATAATCCAGAGCGCCTAATAACCCGGAAAATACGGTACTTCTTTAACTTTTACTTTTCTCATAGCACGCCGAGCCATTTTATTCAAGTAGAAAGACGCTAACCCTCCTTCACACTCACAGCGGTTACAAGATGTCATGTCCTGTCTAAAGTTAGAAAAATATTAGTGCAATTGAGAAAACATGGGGCCGTTTCCTGCAGTTATATTCAGCTCGTTAAAAAGAATAGACTGTGGTATGTGAATGAAAACAGCACCCGTTATAAATATTCAACCCATGCGGTGACAGGGTAGGTGGGGGTTTGGGTTGTTTTACTTTTTTTTTTTTTGCCATTTTTTTCTTCCGTCTATTATTTCTTGTGCTATTTTACATGTGGATCTGTTCTGGTAGGGGAATCGCATTTTGGATTTTTTATTTTTTTTTCCAGCTCCGCAGAACTGTGACATTTGTGAGTTTGTTAGCTGCCAGTAGCATGTATAAAAGTATATATTTGATATTTTGAAAACAATAAAAACATTTTGATTAAAAAAAAATAATAATTCCAAAGAAGTTAAGACAACTCTAAAAAAAACCCCACAGCATTTATTTAAAGGGCTCATATTACGCTCTTTCTGGAGTTGTGTTTTGTTTCATTCGCACATGTTTAACACACAAACACTTCACAGTTCTTCTCTCAAACTGAATCTGTTCCACCTTGTGAACTCAGCTTAAATATGCAGAGTTTGTGTGTTAAACATGTGTGAAAGAAACAAAACACAACTCTGGATATGTATTAAAACAGGAAACAACATTATTATTATAACATACATCAGAAAATAGCGTAATATTAATAAAAAAATAATAATTCTAAACTCACCATTTGCTCCAAATTACTGATCTGGTTTTCCGTTTTGTCCAAGAGCTGCTCCTGGTATTTCTTCTTCTTCAGCAGCAAAAGGGCTTTACTGTTTGAACACACAACATTTGAATATTAAAACATACATGCATCTATTGTTGTGATGTTAAAGGAACCCAACCGATGGAGCTGTTAAGTGATCGAGTCTTAACTCTACTTGGACTACTTTCGGGTCCAATTGATCCTTTGCATTGACATCATGCTGGGGGTGTTCTGTATGTATGTATGTATGCATGTATGTATTTTTACTGGCAGAATGTTCAGCCGTTACCATAGTGACACAAACGCAGACAGAAGAGTTAGTCACAAATCTCAACTCAAGTTTTAAGATTGTCTGAAAAAATACAAAATGGACTTAAACATGACATTTTCAGGAGCCTGTGAATAATACAAGCGTCATGGTCGTGTTTAGTCTGAGTCTGATTTTTAACAAAAAAGGTGAGAGTGACTGACTGACTAAGTGTTTTATGTGTGAGAGACTTTAACAGCACAACTCATCTCACCTCAAATCATCTATCTGTCTATCTATCTATCTATCTATCTCTATCTCTCTCTCTCTATATATATATATATATATCATCCATCTATATAAGGGTTGGGCAATTATTTTTTTCCATGGAGCCACATGAGAAACAGAAAATATTGTGGAGGACCGGGCCAAAATGCTTAACTCATTGTATTTCTTTATAAAAAGCAATAAATATCATTGTTTTGATAAGCTGGTAAGACTAGTAAGAGTTTATGTTATGACTAAGCAATGAAAAAGTGAGTGAGGCTGCTTTACAAAAAATGTCATTTAAAAAAAAAAACTAACAAACCCTAAAATAAAAGCAATGCAGTTTTAGTCCACGCATGAGGTAAAATTATTAATATGTTTATTTTGTAGTTCCAAATGAGCTTAAACGGGCCGGTCAAAGTCGACCAAAGGGCAGTATGTGGCCCCGGAGCTGTACAATGCCCAGGTCTGATCTATATCATTTTAAACAATTTGCTGTGGTCCAGTTATTGCAGTTATTCTACACTTACCTTATGCATTCAGAGCATCCTAATTACCGTATTTTCTGCACTATAGGCACTTAAAGCCTTTAATTTCAACAAAAAATGACGAAATGTACGACTTTAGTAAACTACAAAGCCGCACCACTTGCAGCGTTACAGCGACCGTAGTCAGGAGCATCAGGGGTAATACATACTGTGATTCCTTTTAATATCAAAATGCCACCTGAGACAAGCTTACAACGCCGACACACATTCACCAAGACACGGAGACAGCACCGAGAGACTTACGCCATGATCTGTCTGGATTGTGGACGCCTGGGCTAAGGATCAGTATCAACTGTGGTCCGAGCTTTCACGAAGACCGGAATCATCACTGAACTTCCAGGTAAGAGTAACCACACTGACTCGGATAATGACGAGAGGGATGCGGGCAAGCTGGACGCCAAATCCCCCAACTGTTTGAACAATTCTGAATTATTGTGAATACTCTAATAATTTAGCATCTCAGACAGTATTTTTTTTTTTACACGTTACAATTGAACAAAGTTGAGAGATATTGTGAACCAGGGATGGGCATGATTAATCGATTAATCGATAATTGATCATTAAGAATTTCATCGATTACGTTGATTTTAATCAACAAACCGAATTAGGTTGCTGTGCGTAGCGTGACCAAACAGGGGTTCTTACATGTAGCTCTCTGCATCAGAAGGAGCGAAACACAAACATTCGGTCAGCCTGCAACGTACCGAAGCACAAATGCGTATTTAACGATGACTTGTACAAGAAATTCCACGCTTTCTGTTGCGTTCGGGACAAGTGTGAGGACATGTGCACAGTGTACAAAGCAGGAACATATGTTTCGGTGTCCAATGGGAAAAAGTTTTGCCAGGTGAGAGTCGCGCAATGTCGATGACGAGTCCCCACCTCCCACCCCCCGTACGGTGTCCTGGTTTTGACAAACGCAAATCTGGTCACACTAACCTGTATTCCACTGAATCATGTCTTTTAATCTGACAGAAGTTGACCGCATCAGCGCACAAGAGCTGTAGTTTTATCTTCGCTTAATTTATGCAAATTAGCGATGCGGTATTAAGTTTCGCTACTGTGAGAGTTGCGCAAAACTGAATTAAACACATTATAATGTCAAATGGATTGATGTGGCTCTAGAGTCGTTACGGTTTATATGTCGTAAAGTTGAATTTATTTATGCAGATTAGTAGTGCAGATAGTAATAATAATGATGATCATTTTAATATAAAAACGTTAATGATTAATCGATAATCGATCGTTAATTCTTCCGACGATCGATTAAGAAAATTTCATCAAATGCCCATCCCTATTGTGAACGCGTTAAATAAAGTTTGACTGACTTATCTAACTGTTGTGTTTCGTTTAATGTGCCTTATAGTCCGGTGCGGTTTATATGTCAAAAAAGTTTGAAAATAGACCATTCAATGACAGTGCGCCTTATAATCCAGAGCGCCCTATAGTGCACAAAATACAGTATTCGCGATGATGAGTTTCTCTTTCTGGTCAGATTGCGTTAAAATAAAGCTAGAGTAACCGAGCTTCAGACAGAGCAGTGCCTACAGTTAGCATCACACCCCCTGGGAATGTTGATAGCATGAGCTGCGAAGTATCAGCTGTCTGGTACGATGATAGAGTTGTGATGGACTTACTCTTTCTTTCCATCCTTCAGCAGCTGTTTGGCGAAAGTCCTCTCCTTTTCCAGTTGGAGGTTGATCCTTTTCTGATACTGCCGGAGTTTATCTCTTTGCTGCTTCAGTTGCTGGGAAAACAGTAAAATAGAAGAGCGTTTTCAAAGGTGCACTGAGTAACTTTTCTGGTGGAGGGTCTGTCACCTGCTGTCTCCATGGAGATTATAGATATAAGATTGGTAATCACAATGGAGACAGGTTAGTGGTCAGTTCTATGGAGAAGCAAACCTGCACATGTAAAAATTCATGTTTTTTCAGCTATTTTTGAGCTATTAAACACCTATAACTGAACGCATACAAGGGAGATATGTTTAATGCCATACTGTGGAACATTCCAGACAACGAAATTCCATCTCCATAAAGACAAGCAAATAGCAAACCCTCCACCCTAGAAGTTACATAGTGGTATTACCAATTTGTTAAGTAATTTTATTAACAAGATCATTTTGAAAGTGGAACATAATGTGTTCTGTCCTCGTTAGTCCCTGGTCTAGTCTCCGGTCTAGTCTCTGGTCTAGTCTCCGTTCTAGTCCCTGGTCTAGTCCCTGGTCTAGTCCCCTGTTTGGTCTCCGGTCTAGTCTCCGGTCTATTCCCTGGTTTAGTCCCTGGTTTAGTCCCTGGTCTAGTCCCTGGTCTAGTCCCTGGTCTAGTCCCTGGTCTAGTCCCGTTTGGTCTCCGGTCTATTCCCTGGTCTATTCCCTGGTCTAGTCCCTGGTCTAGTCCTGGTCTAGTCCCTGGTCTAGTCCCTAGTCTAGTCCCTGGTCTAGTCCCTGGTCTAGTCCCTGGTCTAGTCCCCTGTTTGGTCTCTGGTCTAGTCCCGTTTGGTCTCCAGTCTAGTCCCGTTTGGTCTCCAGTCTAGTCCCTGGTCTAGTCCCCTGTTTGGTCTCTGGTCTAGTCCCTGGTCTAGTCCCTGGTCTAATCCCTGGTCTAGTCCCTGGTTTAGTCCCTGGTCTAGTCCCTGGTCTAGTCCCTGGTCTAGTCCCTGGTTTAGTCCCTGGTTTAGTCCCTGGTCTAGTCCCCTGTTTGGTCTCTGGTCTAGTCCCTGGTCTAATCCCTGGTTTAGTCCCTGGTCTAGTGCCCTGTTTGGTCTCTAGTCTAGTCCCTGATTTAGTCCCTGGTCTAGTCCCCTGTTTGGTCTCTGATCTAGTCCCTGGTCTAGTCAATGGTCTAATCCCTGGTCTAGTCCCTGGTTTAGTCCCGGGTTTAGTCCCGGGTTTAGTCCCGGGTTTAGTCCCGGGTTTAGTCCCTGGTGTAGTCCTTGGTCTAGTACCTGGTCTAGTCCCTGGTCTAATCCCCTGTTTGGTCTCTGGTCTAGTCCCGTTTGGTCTCCAGTCTAGTCGCGTTTGGTCTCCAGTCTAGTCCCGTTTGGTCTCCAGTCTAGTCCCGTTTGGTCTCCAGTCTAGTCCCGTTTGGTCTCCAGTCTAGTCCCTGGTCTAGTCCCCTGTTTGGTCTCTGGTCTAGTCCCTGGTCTAGTCCCTGGTCTAATCCCTGATCTAGTCCCTGATCTAGTCCCTGGTCTAATCCCTGGTCTAGTCCCCTGTTTGGTCTCCGGTCTAGTCTCTGGTCTAGTTCCTGGTCTAGTCCCTGGTCTAGTCTCCGGTCTAATCCCTGGTCTAGTCCCTGGTTTAGTCCCTGGTTTAGTCCCTGGTGTAGTCCCTGGTGTAGTCCCTGGTCTAGTCCCTGGTTTAGTCCCTGGTTTAGTCCCTGGTCTAGTCCCCTGTTTGGTCTCTGGTCTAGTCCCTGGTCTAATCCCTGGTTTAGTCCCTGGTCTAGTGCCCTGTTTGGTCTCTAGTCTAGTCCCTGGTTTAGTCCCTGGTCTAGTCCCCTGTTTGGTCTCTGATCTAGTCCCTGGTCTAGTCAATGGTCTAATCCCTGGTTTAGTCCCTGGTTTAGTCCCTGGTTTAGTCCCGGGTTTAGTCCCGGGTTTAGTCCCGGGTTTAGTCCCGGGTTTAGTCCCGGGTTTATTCCCTGGTGTAGTCCTTGGTCTAGTCCTTGGTCTAGTCCCTGGTCTAGTCCCTGGTCTAATCCCCTGTTTGGTCTCTGGATTAGTCCCGTTTGGTCTCCAGTCTAGTCCCGTTTGGTCTACAGTCTAGTCCCGTTTGGTCTACAGTCTAGTCCCGTTTGGTCTCCAGTCTAGTCCCGTTTGGTCTCCAGTCTAGTCCCTGGTCTAGTCCCCTGTTTGGTCTCTGGTCTAGTCCCTGGTTTAGTCCCTGGTCTAGTCCCTGGTCTAGTCCCTGGTCTAGTCCCTGGTCTAGTCCCCTGTTTGGTCTCCGGTCTAGTCTCTGGTCTAGTTCCTGGTCTAGTCCCTGGTCTAGTCCCCTGTTTGGTCTCTGGTCTAGTCCCTGGTCTAGTCCCCTGTTTGGTCTCCGGTCTAGTCCCTGGTCTAGTCCCCTGTTTGGTCTCTGGTCTAGTCCCTGGTCTACTCCCTGGTCTAGTCCCTGGTCTAGTCCCTGGTCTAGTCCCTGGTCTAGTCCCTGGTCTAGTCCCTGGTCTAGTCCCTGGTCTAGTCCCCTGTTTGGTCTCCGGTCTAGTCCCTGGTCTAATCCCTGGTTTAGTTCCTGGTCTAGTCCCGTTTGGTCTCCCGTCTAGTCCCTGGTCTAGTCCCTGGTCTAATCCCTGGTCTAGTCCGTGGTTTAGTCCCTGGTCTAGTGCCCTGTTTGGTCTCCGGTCTAGTCCCTGTTCTAGTCCCCTGTTTGGTTTCTGGTCTAGTCCCTGGTTTAGTCCCTGGTTTAGTCCCTGGTTTAGTCCCTGGTCTAGTCCCTGGTCTAGTCCCCTGTTTGGTTTCCAGTCTAGTCTCTGGTCTAGTCCCCTGTTTGGTTTCCGGTCTAGTCTCTGGTCTAGTTACTGGTCTAGTCCCCTGTTTGGTCTCCGGTCTAGTCTCTGGTCTAGTTCCTGGTCTAGTCCCCTGTTTGGTCTCCGGTCTAGTCTCTGGTCTAGTCCCCTGTTTGGTCTCTGGTCTAGTTCCTGGTCTAGTCCCTGGTCTAGTCCCTGGTCTAATCCCTGGTTTAGTCCCTGGTCTAGTCCCTGGTTTAGTCCCTGGTTTAGTCCCTGGTTTAGTCCCTGGTCTAGTCCCCTGTTTGGTCTCCAGTCTAGTCCCTGGTCTAGTCCTTGGTCTAATCCCTGGTTTAGTCCCTGGTCTAGTGCCCTGTTTGGTCTCCGGTCTAGTCCTTGGTCTAGTCCCTGGAACATAATGTGATTTCAATGGGAACACAAGGATTAACCTCAGAATATCACAAAATATGAAAAATCAAGGAAAAGTTGTCAAATGAAAGCCACTAAGATACATGTGAGTGATACAGGGTTCCCACTTTACCATGACTTTTTCATGACCTAAAGTAAATTTTCCATGATTTTACGGCACTTACATGTGTAGAATTGATCAGACTTTTATTGCTAAATATGAAATGTTAACTCTTTCCACTAACTTTATGGTTTGATATTATAGTTTTTTAACATTCAAAATCCCGTCAGTGCATTTATTGTCGTCTATTTTCACAGAACGCTGTAGTTGCGTGAAATACTAATACTAAATAGTTTAGTTTAGTCCTGGTTTAGTCGTCCAGGTTCATTCCTGATTTAGTCACGATTTAGTCACGGTTTAGTCCTGGTTCAGTCCTGATTTAGACCTGGTTTAGTCCTGATTTAGACCTGGTTTAGTCCTGATTTAGACCTGGTTTAGTCCTGATTTAGACCTGGTTTAGTCCTGATTTAGACCTGGTTTAGTCCTGATTCAGTCCTGGTTTAGACCTGGTTTAGACCTGGTTCAGTCCTGGTTTAGTCCTGGTTTAGTCCAGGTTTAGTCCTGATTTAGACCTGGTTTAGACCTGGTTTAGTCCTGGTTCAGTCCTGGCTCAGTCCTCCTGATTTAGACCTGGTTTAGACCTGGTTTAGTCCTGGTTCAGTCCTGGTTCAGTCCTGATTTAGACCTGGTTTAGTCCTGATTTAGAACTGGTTTAGACCTGGGTTAGTCCTGATTTAGACCTGGGTTAGTCCTGATTTAGACCTGGGTTAGTCCTGATTTAGACCTGGTTTAATCCTGGTTCAGTCCTGGTTCAGTCCTGGCTCAGTCCTCCTGGTTTAGTCCTGGTTTAGTTCTGGTTTAGTCCTGGCTCAGTCCTCCTGGTTTAGTCCTGGTTTAGTCCTGATTTAGACCTGGGTTAGTCCTGGTTCAGTCCTGGTTCAGTCCTGATTTAGACCTGGTTTAGTCTTGATTTAGACCTGGTTTAGTCCTCCTGGTTTAGTCCTGGTTCAGTCCTGATTTAGACCTGGTTTAGTCCTGGTTTAGATCTGGTTCAGTCCTGGTTCAGTTTATATACGTTGCAAAAGTTCACACAGTTATTTTGTTGAGAGTAACTTAAAGTGCTGCAATATTATAATGAAACGAATTAGTTTGAAATGACAGAAACAAGTCATAAATAAAGTAGAGTGTTTTTTTGGGACTTGAGGGGCTAAAGTGACAGGTTAGCATTGTGGCTAACGTTATCTTACCAACACAGCCTTGTCTTGTTCTGTGACTCTGGTGCGTTTCTTTTTCCCGAATAAGTTTCCCATAATGACACAGCATCCCAGCCTAGACTCAGCAAGAGATAAAGAAGAGGAAGACGCTGCTAATCGCTAAAAGAACCAAACGTGGAGAGAAAACTCTAAATCCTAGTCCATTATTTGTGCAGTCATCTGTTTCCGTGCAAAACTCCACACCCACAACAGGAAGAAGGGAAACGTCACGACGCACAGATGCCGTAAGCAAACCCCCGAAAAAACCTTAAAGAAGGTAAAGAAGGTAAACTTTTAGCCTGTGCTGGAAGAAGTACTCAGTTTTGTAAAGTAGTTTAAACTACAGATACCAGAAAAAAAAAAAAAAGAAAAAAAAAAAAACCTACAACAATCAGTCTCGTTTTCTTTTTTCCTCTTTCTCCCTCTGCTGGATTGTTTGCATTACTACAATAACGAGTATGAACTTTTTTTTTTTTAGTATAGCCAGTGCTGAATGACAAACATATTGGTGGTAGAGGAGGTAAGAAGTGGAGAAAATGAGATGCACTAACTCGTACAAAGAGTACTTAAAGGTTAATTTTCTTTCTGTTTTTTTTTTTTTATTTATTTTCATAATTTTTAATTTCATGTTAAGATAAGAAGAGATTCTGACAGACAATAAGCATTTCTGACAAAAGTAAAGTCCAGATTTTCAGGTTTTATTGTACAAATCAATCAATCAAAAAAAAAATCAATAAATAAAAAAACTCCAACTAAATCTACTTAAGTAAAAGTAAAAGTAAAATGAAGGAAACCTACATGTTTAAATATACTGAAAAAAAAAAAACTCCAACAAAATCTACTTAAGTAAAAGTAAAATTAAAGTAGCCTACATGTTTAAATATACGGAACCCCCCCCCCCCCCCCCCCCCCAAAAAAAAACTACAACTAAATCTACTTAAGTAAAAGTAAAAGTAGCCTACATGTTTAAATATGTAAAAAAAAAAACAACAACACTCCAACTCTACTTAAATAGAGTAAAAGAAAAGTAGCCTACATATTTAAATACGCTGAAAAAGAAAAAGAAAAAAAAAAGACAACAAAATCTATTTGATTAAAAGTAAAAGTAAAGTAGCCTACATGTTTAATATGCTGAAAAAGAAAGAAAGAAACAAACAAACAAACAAAAAAAGACAACAATCGAACCACATCTACATACACAATGATATAGATTCATGATAACAACACTGTGCTGTATGGTGTCTTTTGAATATCTACAGAAAATACCTAAAATTTAACAGTATTTAAAGGTTAAATTTGACGGACCCACCAGCAGAAAAGTGACACAATGCACCTTTATGACTGCGCCAATGTCTGGACAGTGGCTGCAGTCATGTTCAGATATAATGATTCACCCAAAATCAAACCATAAAAATACCTAAAACAAAACTGAAAATCCACACATCAATTTGGAGTGTGCCAGCAACTTCACTGGATATTCTCTGAGAAAGGTACATAATATAGCCTTTTATTTTTGAATATTTTTGAATCATTTTTGATAGATCTTTCAGTGTGATTTCTTCCTTTCAGATGTTTACACGCTCAAAACCCCCAGCGCCCCCCTCTCCAAAGCGTAAGCTCCAAAGATTTCTGATCATTTACAGTTTAAGAGACTGATATTTTCTGATTTTTAGTTCTCCCTGGGGACTGGAGAAAGATACCGCCATTGTAAGTACAGAAACTCCTGGAAATGTGGTGTTTTAGTTTATGTACACAGCAAATTCAAGAGTGTCAATCCAACTCATGTATTGTTAATTTTAACACTTTTACCATGTCATACGTTGTCCACACTAGAATGAGGTAAAACTACACTTTCCAAAGTGTTGAAGGCAACCTTGGTAAAGTGATGTAACCACAGTCCTCATAGTTGAATTTGACAGATTAAGATTTGATTTTTTTACACTAGTGTACAGTGTAAAATAAAAAATTAATAACACTATATTGATATGTTTAGGGATGTAACAATAACCAAAATATATATAATATATTGTTTTGTCAAAGTTCTCACAATAATATCGTGGACCATCACAATATATCGAATTACAAGTCTCTTTGTTTAAATTAAGAGTTATGGTGCAGCAACAGCTAAAAAAAAGACAGAGGGAACTACATAGACCATGATCCTTTATTCCATTTCAGTGCAGACTACAAGAAGAAATACAGTTCTAACACTTTTAAGTCTTAGTTCTTTGGATTAAGTCTTGTCAAGGCATTTTAAGAGGAAAAGGTAGAATATTAGCCTCAAAATATCGCAATAAATATCGTACCATGAGATGTATATTGTGAAAATATCGTACTGAGAGATTTGGATATTGTTACATCTCTAATGGTGAGCCTCTCCACCATATCTTGAGCTTTCCCTCGATATCGCAATAAATATCGTACCGTGAGGTTCATACCGTGATGATATCGTATTGTGAGACTTGGATATCGTATAGTGAGACTTGGATATCGTATCGTGATACTTGGATATCGTATCGTGATACTTGGATATCGTTACACCCCTAGTTTATGAAGTAGAAACAGTGTAGAGTGTTCTTCATGTTACACTGTTCAATAGTGATTGATGGATTGATAGCATTTATATAGCGCCTTTCAAGATACCCAAAGTGCTTTACAGTTCATTATTCAGTCACTCCACACTCAGTGGTGGCAACCTACTACTGTAAGCTACTACTGTAGCCACAGCTGCCCTGGGGCAGACTGACGGAAGCGAGGCTGCCAATCTGCGCCATCGGCCCCTCCTACCACCACCATCACTCACGCTCACACCACTTTCATAGTGGTGTGAGCGTGAGTAACTCTTTCTTCACTAAATAGTGTCAGTGCTGTGGTCATTCTAGTTCATAATCCCTCTGACAAATTTAAAAAAGTACTTCTACTTTAATGGGAAGAAAATACGGCTTTAGAGAAAAATGCATTGAAAGTACTTTATAAATACTAACAAAGATGTAATGAAGCACTTATTATTATGCATTTTACTTTTCACTAGCTATTAATATGTGGTCCCTAATCTAAAGTGTTACAGAATTTCTTCAGTAGCTTAAATATAAAGATCTTAACTGTGTTTTAATAAAATGACTAGTCCAACCTGCCATAGAAACTTTAAAGGCACACTACGTACCAAAGGTACGTGTGGGGCTTCCTTCACCTGCATGTTTCTCTGGTTATATAACTGCTCTGCCTCGAATGTTCCACAGTATGACTTTAAACTGCTCTACTTTATATTTATTCAATTACACAGGTGGTTTTATTGCTCAAAAATACCTAGAAAAACAGATATTCTGACCATAAGCAGGATTGCCTCTCCACAGATCTGACCTGTAACTTGGTCTGGTTTGGTAAAACTGTGAAATATTCCAGACAAAGCAATAGCCTTTTCATGGAGACAAGCAGATGGCAGAACCTCCACCAGAAAAGTTACACAATGCACCTTTATGACTGTGCCAATGTCTAGATAACGGCTACAGTCATGTGAGCAGTCATGAACAAATATAATGATTCAACCAAAATCAAACCATAAAATACTCAAAACAAAACCGAAATACAGTTAAGAAATCCCCGAGAGTGATGTCAACCAGACAGTAAAATTAGAAACCAAAAAAATTACCAAACTGGAAAAAGATTCTTAAGATTTTTAGTAAAATCTTAAAAATAATTATCTTAACTGTGTTTTAGTGAAATGAGTAGTGCATTGTGTAACTTTTCTGGTGGAGGTTCTGCCATCTGTTTGTCTCCATAGTGATGTTATTGCTTTACTTCGACATATTAAAAGATTGTATTTATTAATTTTTTTCACGATCTGCATGTAGGTCTTCCCTAACCAACTTTTTGAGAAACACTGATGACTGTTTTTCCTTGTTTAAAACTTCGGACTATAAGGCGCACTTAAAATCCCTTAATTTTCTGAAAAAACAACAGTGCACCTTATAATCTGGTGCACCTTATGTATTAATTCTGGTTGTGCTCACTGACCTCAAACCGATTTTCACACATATTCCACTGAGTTGTGTCCTTTAGTCCGACAGAAGCTGAACCACATCGGCGCACAAGGAGCGAGCTGTTTTTCTTTCTTTTTTTTTTATCACTTAAAGTTTATGCAATGAGCCATGTGGTTTTAAGTTTCGCTTCTGTAAAACTTAAACAAATGTGCACAAAGCTGAATTAAACACATTATTACTCAATGTATATTTGAGTCGACCTCGTAGGAAATAAAAAAAGTCTCAAGTCAAGTGTCATCCGTTTGTTTTGCTTAATGTGTCTTATAGTCCGAAAAATACGGTAATACTAATTGTTCAGTCAACAATAAAATATCCTCATTAATGTTCAATAATGGCCAAATCCACCTTTATTTTGTGATTCACGAATAATGTCTATTGACTTGGATTGCAAAGGTTTGTGACTTTTAAAATGTGGATCCCCAGATAAAAAAGTTTGGGAAACACTGCTCTAGAACATTCCAGGGATAAACAAGTTACACAGTGCACCTTTCCCTTTTGTGGCATTTTTCTTGCCAGGGACAAGGACAATTATTTGCAGTACATTTATGATTTTCAACCGGACCAAAAGGATGTAGAGCACATCAGGATTCTGCTTCATGGGCCAAGTAATGCAGGTAAATCCAGCTTCATCAACTCAGTGGAGACAGCTTTACGAGGAAGGATGACGGGGCAGGCTTTAGCTGGGTCTGGTCATGACAGCTTCACCACAAAGGTATAAAGGACAATAATTAACCTGTGACTGTTGCATAACTGATTTGATTGCTTATTGACAGTATTTAACGCACAAAATACAAAAAAGAAAACCTGGGACTTTCTATCCGTTTGTTTTCAATGACATCATGGGCCTGGAGAAAGATAATAAAGGCATTTGTGTGGATGATATCAAAGTGGCCATGAAGGGACATGTGAAGGACGGATATGTGGTAAGAATAAAGCTCCTAAATCCATGTATCATTCATTTATTTTTCAAAATAAAACCAAAAATAAGAAAACAAACCAAAAAAAAAAAAAAAAAAATTTAAATGAATAATGGAAAAAATTAAGAAGGTTAATTTTTTCCCATTTTCGTGACTTAAACTGCAATGCTGGACTTTTGCACCACATACGGACTGAACCAGGACTAAACCAAGACTAAAACAGGACTAAAACAGGATTAAACAAGTAAGTAAGTTTTTATTTATA